CGGACCGCACGGAAAGATCCGCGGAACCAGCGGAGGAACAGTGAGACAGAAGGTCTCAAGTGGAACCTATATGACAGACAGACCAGTGACTCACATCCGAGGTAGCCTTACACCCTCATGAGCAAGAGAAAAAAAGGGCGGGTACTGGAGTGGCATACCCACCCCTTTCTCGGTATTTGCTTGTTTGGAGGACGGAGTTTCACACGAGGATCTCTTGGCGATTGGCTTGGTGGGCCGTGTACCGAGACCTCGCAGCAATGAAAACGGGCAACGTGCTACTGCTGCCTCCAATCCAGTACCCTTCGCGCGGAAATTAAAGCTTGGTTGTACTAGGTAGGGCGGGGTAATGAGCCGCTGGGTAGCGACTCAATACCTTGCAGTAGTCTTATCTGCGATGCTGATGGTGCACGAATCCCGACACACAGCAGCGTGAATCGTTTGTGGTGCAGCTACGCGTGCACCAGAGGGACAGAGGCTGCAGGGGTGCGACGGGCGCGACGAGGGTTGTATATGGGGCCCCGTTCAAAACCTTGCACTTTACACTTTACATGCGGTTGTTTCATTTCCGTTGATGCACATGCACACAACCACGAAGAAACAAAATGTGAAGTCATCCCGCTGTGCGGACGCAAACACGCACACCAGGGAGGCACGCATGCGGCATGCACCTGGCGGCGAGCGCATCACACATCACACCGTCGAGGAGCACGACCAGCAGCGTAGACATAGGAATTGTGGCAAGACAGATGGCGACTTGCATCAGGCTTACAACTTGCCCGACACATTCGTCAAGTGAAAGCAAGCAGTCTACATATTGTATCATACATCACGGGACACTACTACATGCGTACGCAGCACCAATAACAACAAAGCCGTTGATGGTCATGACTTTGATGCGAGCAGCGACAGCAGGCAGGGCACGGATTTTTCGAAGACAGTCAGTAGCGCGGCGCAAGTTATGCAACCTGAACCGATCCCGCTGGGAACCATCCTGATAACGCACAGCAGCAGTAGTGGCCCGCCCTCACGCCTCTTCGGATTCTCTCGATGGTAGGTGCGATCTCTGGACTTTTGGGAAGGTGTGTTATGTTGTGTGTTGTTCGTTTGTGATATTCGGTCTGCTGTTGTTTTGGGAGCAGTCGGTTTTGCACCACTCAACATCAGCAACACCCGCCAGGTTACACACGGCGCATGAATATACCCACGGCGCACAGGTCGTACAGGCCCGGCCCCTCGTGGTTTTCATAGATAGCTGGTCTCGGATCAGCGTCCTGTTGTTCTCCTTCTGCTGATGTGGTGTTGTCCTGCCGGGGTTTGAACACTACCGCGTGTTCTGTGTGTGTGCAATCTCCGATAGCTCGGGCATTTTACCTCTCCACAATTCCTGGGCGTGCGGGGATGCGATCTTCAACGAAATTGGGCCACATATGTCTGTGAAGCACGGCCATCTGTTGCCGAAGCACGACCAAACCGGTGCGACGAAGAGCGCGTATTTTTCTTCTTGCTCAGAAGTGAACAGATCGTCAAACGGTGCCCTATCGGTCTCGTTCTGGTCCGAAAGGTGCGATAAACATGCGTCACGGAAATCAAGTTTGGGGGCCCCTGTATCGCGCGGCGCAACTTTGGCCGATATATAGAGCCTTTTTTTCCCTCCTGGGGATGAGAAGGGAAAAAAAATTGCTCGCTTCGCTCGCTCCGCGGCTCATTACAAGGGGGTACGGGGTGTGGTTGGGCTTCAGGGTTAGGGATAGGGATAAGCATACGAAGCCCTCTTCTCTATGTCCTAGAATTGGCTCTACAATCCTCCCGAAGGCAGTCCATTGTTCAAATCAAGGCGAACAAAGCTCTGTTGTGGCCCGGAAAACGCAGCCATATCACATCGTGTTCCGCAGCTGGATATTCGTGCGTTCCCTCGAGCAGACCGATAACAGCCCAAAACTGGAGGCAACAACGGCAGCTCGGACCCACGCGGACCCACGGAGGGGGTACGACTCCAGGCAAGGAGGAATTCTTCTCGACCTCCAACGTGGTCTACGACGGTGAAACCAAGCAGGGGAGATCTGGAGGTGTCATCATCGAAGCAATCAACTAGATATCGCCGGGCACTTGAAACTCATGCTGCACACGTGTCGGTGTGTTTCTTTCTGGTCCTCGCGTGACACACAGCTAGCGATGTACCTGCTTCCACACAGCAAGGTAAATTGTAAGTTTATCTCGCAGGCCTATTATTGAACATGTAAAACAATACCTGACAGAAGGACAGAACAAACAAGCACAGCCACCACGCACGAACCCGGGAGTTGACTAAGGTCGGGCTTAACCCCCTTACCACGCACAGAAAATTCGGCGTTCTTGCGAAATTTCTGAAATGTAAGAAAAGAGAGAACGACGCCTGCTGATTGGAGGGTGCAGACAGTTCCATCCCTGGGTGCAAGTGCAAAGCTGCCTTCCCACTTGAGCCGTCTCTTGTCTATAATCCCTATCAATCGGCCCCTCGATTATCGAGGGGACATTTGATAGGGATTATAGAAAGCAACTGGCGGGGGCGTGGAAAACGGGTCACGAAAAGGAGGTTTTCAAGATATTTCTCTAGAGGGAAAGCGAGACCTTCTAACTCAAGCCCTAGGTTGCTCGGTGCCTCCTATCAACGGTGGTCTAGGTACTTCTTCCGCGCTTGCCCCTAGTAGCGCTTTCCACCCAAGGGTAGACAGACGCGGCGCAACTTCGCTGTTGAACCCGCGGCGTAATCGCCCCGCGATTCGACCTGTTCATTACCCTCACACTCCTCCACTCTACAAAGCATCCATACTAGACTTGAGGTCCCTGTTTACCCTGGCACCCCCCTGGTCGAGTAGTGCAAAGGAGGAGACAATCATGCCATTCTTCGCGAGGTAACGCAGGTGAAGAAGATGGGGATAAAAAGTGTCCTCAAAAGGCGATCCAGCCCTAAAGGGGTTAAGATCGGGAGCATTGAGCACTTAACAGGGAGCAGGTGATCCTTGAAAGAGTCCTACAAAAAAAGTACGAAGTACGGAGTGGGGGACGCGCTTGGGCCATACGGAGTAACCATCGAAATACCACGGATGGGGTAGATAGGAAAACACCAAACACGCCTCCGGCAAAGCACACGAGGTGCAGAATCAAGTGGCAGCGCCTTATGCACCCCAACATAAAAGTCCAGGAGGGATTCTTAAGGAGTTGCACATGTACTGCTGTACGCATAGAAAACGAAAAACGAAGCCAACCACCGGCAGTGGGTGGGACTATTGCTCGACCTTGGTCGGCAATCTTAATAATACTGCTGCTGGGCCTTCCGTGATCGGATACGGTAGAGAAGAGAAAATGCACACACCTCAAGATCCCAATCGTTTCAGGTGGTTTTCGTGTTTCAACCTCACGACTCCAACAAAAGTCAGCGTCTTCGATCTGCAAAAACGAGACAACGCAGCTCAGTGATGGTTCAAGCTGAATGCAAGCGAGGGAAGTTTGCAGTTGGAAGTTGTTGCGCGAGTCCACAAAGAGGAGAGAGAGCAACTCCGGCAGACCAGATCGAAAGAGGAGGCACGCACTCAAAGCACCGTCGGACAAAGCAAAGGTGGCCCACCACTACACGCCAGGGGTGCGTACACCAGGCAATGGTAATGGCGGGCACAGGGCCAGGCTGCAAAACTGCGGTAATGCACACATCGGGCCTAGCTGCCATCTCGCTCTTTTTTCTCTCTACAGCAGTATCAAAAAGATGCGCTCACATCCAACCACGAACGAAAAGGAGAGCAACCTGGTGTTTTTGTCACGCATACATATCATACCTCGTTGATTCTCGGATCATTTTCCCTTCGCCAGTAACACCAAAGGGTCGGTTGATTTAAGCCCGTCGGCTGGGCTATACGCGGGTCGATGCGAACACGCGCGGTGCGTGTGGGTCAGTGAATTCCTGTTGGGCATCGCAGAGCAGACACACAGCGACGCCGGGGTTGGCGGGCCCGCATATGGTACATAAATATTTGTGGTATGTAGAATCATTGATTTTCAAATTGCGTTGACCCTCCGCATTTTTGGTGCGACGTGCCAATCTCTGCCTGCTCTATATGATATGAATCCCGTCATCGACGTGTACTAAGGGTGCGCGCGCGCGCATGCAGGACAGAACCTTTGTGCGTGCTGCTGTGATATCTTCGTGTCTCGCCATTCCAAACGTGGTGACAGCAGCAATAGTGTAGTGTAGTCCCGCGCAGCAAGAGTTTTGTTTTTTCTGTTGTTTTGTTCTCCAATAATCTCCGCAAATCAGCACACACGTCTGTCGACGTGTCGCACGATCGAGGTATCGTGACGGTGGCGAGGAAGCTACGGCCGCTGGGTTGAGCTGAAGTTGGAGATGAGCCGATCAGTCGGCGAGTTCCACCTTATGGGTCATCTAGGAGAGGGCTCCTTTGCCACGGTAAGGGAAAATCGTGTTGAAGCTAGCGTTTGAAAATGTGACAGCAGCAGGTACAAGTCGTGTATGCATGATGTGTACATATGTTCCGACGTGAAAATGTCGCCTGGGTCCGCTCGATACACCGCGCGCGACATAAGTGCGCCGCTGGTGGCGATCGGCAGCGTCCATCCGACAGGGAAATGCGTTGATATTCCCTACCCCTTCGATGCCTCTCCCTCCCAAGTGGCTTCTGGAGTGCTTTGTCGTGGGCGTGCCGCCGGGTGACGTGCCAAAGAGCGGTTGAACGATGAAAGGACGTTGCCATGTTGATGTTTGAGGGAAAAGTGCTAAATTGTGCTTGCATACACTTTACATCGCGAAATGTAGGTCACACGCAAACCAAGTCTGCAAGACGGCGTCTGCTGCCAGCACCATTTCACTTCAACTCGCATGTCACTCGCTATAATCGCAAGCACTCATGAGCACAGACGCGCATTTTGAAGGAAGATCAAATTGGTCGTGCAAGAGCCCGCTGATTGAAACTCTGCTTTTTCTACAAAACGTGTAGACAACAGCGCTAACCGGTCGCGCTGTGTATGAGAGCGCTGATTGAAGTGAAAGTCATGATCGAAAAAAACAACAAATCGTCGATCGCTTCACAACCGAGAGGGCGGTGCCGAAAACCATATCTATCCAGCCGAGAGCTTGCCTGGGACTCATCGGCCAGTCCCCCCCCCCCCTCTTGGTTGTGGAGCAATCGAGATAAATGTTGTATGCATACACGAAAGCCATCTTGTAGCAGTGGGGGGTGCCATCAGTCGCTCGGACAAATACGGCATTGATGTTACAACCCTCCAGCAGTAGACTGGAAGCCCAAATGGGGACACTTTTGGGACACAGCACTCAAACGCCTATTTACCGCACCGCAGCCGCCCTAGGCTCCGCTGTGTGCACAACGCACGCGAGAACCCTTGGTCTATCATGCGTGGCTGAGGTGGTACGCTGTGTGGTACCGTAGACGACACAAGATAACACACCCCGGTGATGATGACATTTGGGGCTTCAAAATTATTATCATCGGGTGTGGTATCCTGTGGGGGGGGTGTTATCTTACGTAGCCCGGGCGATAAATTTCAGCTCGCAGGGGGGCCGAAGGGGGTGTTATAGCACGTTCGAACACCCACTGGGTGTGTTTGGGGGCGTGATAATAGTGAGGGTGCGTGACATAAAAGGGGGAGGGTGATCACGCTTCTTGTAGAGTTGAACCGCTGCTGACGCACACTTGAAGGGGTGTGGATGCTGCTGCTGGTTAGGCGATGCAGTGACTGTCATGTTGGCGCCTGTCGCTGTGTCGGCTGCTGCTGCTGTTCAGTGATGTAGCCCCGGTCACATATCGATTGTTTGTCAGAAACGCCCAAAATTGTCACCGGGGTGTCGTTTTCTGTGGGGGTTGTGGTTTTGCGTGTGGAATAGTAATCTTGTGTCGTCTACGGTATGCTGTGTGATGCCTCTCCTGAGCCTCTGACTTGCTGTACACATCTCCCAACCTGCGTGCCCCCTAGATCGTAAAACTGTACATCGCCTGGTACTGGAAAAATGTGCTGGCTTGGCTTCAGTGTGAAAAATGTCCCCACGTGTTTTGGGGACACTTGTCATACTGAAGCCAAGTCACCCTTTGTGTGGCAAGGAGCTCAGATTCTTTGGAGGGACTGCTGTAGCCCCTCGACCAATGGCTGAAAAGCATTTTTGCGACTTTTTTTGTGCGGAGGGATTGGGCACTACATAGGATGGTTAACAGAAACACACAGCACTTTCTCTTGCCGTGTGTAGGAACTCCAATCCGTGGTCACCAGAGAGCATTTTCTTGCCGTGTGTAGGAGCTCCAATCCGTGGTCACACAGAAGGGTCCCCCTCCCTGAGGCGCCCCAGCCACCCCTCCTGCGGTGCTTGCCTTCCACTCTTAAAGCGAGAAGAGTGCAACACTCGCTATTCCCCAAAGTTGTTGTTGTTGTTGTTGTTGTTGTTGTCTTCACGTTAAAAAATATCATTGTTCCGGTCTCCGCTCAGTACCTTCTATAATGTTCGCACAAAGTGTACACACGAACTACTGCTGCAGTCATCATGCATACAACAGAAAAGTCTGTCCAAATAGCGCGGCGTATGAACTGGAGCTCAAGTCGCCACCGGTGTATGGAGCTCACTGAAATCCCATCGTGCTCACACGTGAACGGTCACCTCCTCGGGACTAAGCAACCCGGGGTACGCGCACACTGCGATTTTGTTTTTCTACTGCGCATGTTGTGCTCCTGCGCCTTGCGTTATTTACGCGCCTTCCATCTGCTGTGCCTGCCATGTGTAGAGTTGGTGGTATGCACACGGTTTGGAGTAGTGGACGCGCGTCAAATGCGGGAGCGGCCCTGCATCCGGTGTGCTACCCTAGGAAGGTAGTGAGCGTTGCGCATTTGAAAGGCAAGAGTGGAATCGCACGCAGAACAGCCTATTTTTTTCACTCACGAACGTGGCACATTAACTACTAGTACAGAAAAAAAGGTAGATGGAGTAACTTGTCAGGTGGTACTTGAGCGTGCTGTAGGAATGCAACGTATGTCAGCAAGCTACGAACGAGCCTTGTGCGGTACATCTGCAGGCGTGCCACCACCAAGTCGCGTCTTTTTCACGGCGGAGGTGTTTTCCTTTGCGGAGTCTACTTGAAATATTTTTTCTTGGCATACCAAAACACAAACCGAGTATGTATCCATCGCAATACAATCCGTCCAACCCGCTCAATCAACATGCATGATACATCGGTTCGTTCGTTTGCTGTGGAGTTACACGCCTATCCTATCCTTTTTCGGCATGTTTATGCTCCCAGGTGTTCCTTGCTCGTCAGCGGGAGACGGGGAGGGAGTTCGCGATGAAAGCCATCAGTCGCGCTCGTGTGCAGGTGCGTTGTGGCACTACTACTGTTGTTGACCTGCTTGCTATCTCTGCCGGCTATCGCGTGTGTGGGTGTTCCGAGGTTCTCGTGTTGCCCATTGGTCGCTCAGTACCACGTTTGCATTGTTTCCTCCTATCGTCCTTGTTGTTGCGGGTGACGGCAAGTGCTGCTGTCGTCTGCGTGTGTGACCATCTCGACAATTTTCAGTTGGTCCGACATTCTCCGCAAGGACCGCCTTCGCGAGAACAGTAAGTGTTATGAGAAAATAGAACAGGGAAGGGGCACGCAGACTGTATTCCCTAACCCTATCCCAACTTCCCCGATTGCATGCTTTACCCAACATGTTTACTTGATTGAAAAACCCTGAGAAGGCTACTTCTCCGCAACCCGTACTGCCGCGCTTTCCCTAGACTGAACTGAAGGGTACTTCTGGATAACCCGTACCGCCGCACTTTCCCTACTGTAGACTGAAATGAAAAATACTTCTGGAAACCCGTACCGCAGCACTTTCCCTAGACTACAATGAAAGATACTTCTGGATCACGAGAGACTCGTGTTACAAGCCGCGTTATTTGTTCCCTGGGTAACCAGTATTCCCCCAAAGACCGTAGTCCTTTGTGTTCGTGCACTTGCTTGACGCGTTACTTGTACCCCGTCTAGCGGTCCTCGCCGTCAAACACCAGACCGTCTTGCGCACACAGTGGCCAAAATTCCAAAATGATGTTACCGCTGATTGGTTGAAAGATTCAAAGGGGAGAGACCGCCTGTTGTTGTCCCCGTCGTCGTCTCTCGTCGCGCGCGAGGACAGGGAAAACTCCAAGAGAACCTGGAGTCGGAGATCTCGATCCTCAAGAGCTTCCGGCACGGCAACATCGTGGAGCTCTACGACATCAAGGTGCGAGGTGTTGGCTGCTCAAGGTCTTCTTTCTTGTGTGCTGCTTTGCTTTTGCTGCTGATGGTCGTGAAGGAACCTCGGGTATCCGCGAAAACCAGACAGGCTTCACGGTGGTAGTCGCCGAGTTGAGTCGCGCGTCTACCGGCCCGACGGAAAGTTGGGCCTTCATGTCGTACGTGGCTTTGACATGTGTTGGAAGGTGTTTGTCGACGCTTGTGCTTGTAATGCACGCACGCATCCCTAGCGTAGTGCGGAGCCCAGCGGCTGAACGAGTCGCAGGGGATGGCGAGGAGTTTTTTTTGGCATGCGCTGCTGGTCGACAGGCTCGGTATTTGGCAATAGTGTGAGGGTTCGTTTGTTGCAGCACGTTGCTATTGCTATTGTCATTGCCGCATGCGTTGTCTATTGTCCAGGGTGTGAAAAACGTTCAGCATTGTGGTTCCGACACTCGATGTTTCGACAGAAGCGCAAGTAGGCAATTTCGTCACACATGTTGCTTACCATAATCGCATGCTGGTAATATTGGGAAATCATCCGTTGTTGGGTACATGGGGTACCACCCAGGGTAGAGCTGTATACAACGTGCGCTTCGCAAGCCACCGTACTCATGCACCTTGTGCTCTCTGTTGGTGACCTATGTTTGGTGTATTTTTCCCTCGATGTCTCAGAAAACGGAGCGGCACATTTACCTTGTTTTAGAGTACTGCGCGGGGGGCGACCTCAGGGCGCTGATACGGAAGGAAGGGAAGCTGGCGGAGACGTCTGCGAGGCACTTCATGCGCCACCTAGGTACGGAAAACATCGCCTCTTTTGCTTGCTCCACCGCCGCTGCTGCACGTCGCTAGAGCCTGGGGGGTGGGTGGGGGCTTTCGCTCGTGTCGTTTGGTCGCGTCGTGCCCGAAAAGGCGAGGCGAAGCGTTTTATGGCGTTGTTTCCTGGAGGTCTCGGAAGATGTAGCGCCGCCGTGCGAGAGGGCCGAGGCCCGAGGCATACAAGGCCGCACGTCTGTTTGTGTTGTGTGTTTTCCGCGATGTTGGAGGGATGCTTTGTGTGCGGTGTTTTGCAGTGCCACATGTCGCCATGTCCAGGGAAACAGGACCGTAGGTCCGCCCTCACCCGGTGTTTCCGCTGGCGACAACGAATGCATAACTGGTGGTCCGTGCGGTTATGGTTCGCCTAAACACACGAAGAGTTTGAACGGGAGCAACAGCGGTGTTACGAACGGTTGACGACACCGTGTGCCCGACGGCGTCTTATGACCCGGTGGTTGGGGAAACAAGCCGTCTGTAGTGTTTTTTTGTCCTTGATGAATCACCACGCAGAGGACGACTCGGCCTTCCTCCATCCGCTCTCCCCCCACCCTTGATTGTTTTCACAAAGCTGCTCTCGACCCCCCACCCCCTCCTATCGCGTCTGCGGTGCCCCCCTTTCCCACAGGCTCTGGGCTTCACTTCCTGTGGTCGAAGAACCTCGTCCACCGCGATCTCAAGCCTCAAAACCTGCTTCTCTCGGGACCCGGCCTAGACGCCACGTTGAAGATCGCCGACTTCGGCTTCGCACGGCACTTGGCGCAGGCCTCTATGGCGGAGACCATCTGCGGGTCCCCCCTCTACATGGTGAGTTGAGCTCGGCAGCCCAAGCCGAAGTAGAGCTGTTTTTTGTTTGCCGCGGTCTTGGCGTTTTCGTGAATGCTTGCGCGGCAAGGCTGGAGCCTCGAGGTCTCGCGCGTAGTGTTTTTTTTTTCATCCCCGGGTTTCTTCTTCTCCTGTCCATAAATTAGTTCAAGCAGAAGGGCACAGTCATGTTCAAGCGCGAACACATGTTGGCAGGGCTGTTTTGATCGACGAGATGCACGCGTAGCGCGGGAGGTATGTTTGGGTATTGCGCACGGTGGTCGGTTGCACGAGCAGGGGGTAGGCTTGTCTCTTCCTTTCCTCGGCTCGTGTCCTGGTTCCGTGTGCGCGACGTGACGCGGTGGAGGTCTCGGCTGCTAATACTTTGTGTTGCGTCTGATCTCTGTGTGTGAGGCGCCGGTGGCCCTTTCCCAGGGGCCAGCGGGACGTGTTTTTGCGCGCGGTGCGGGACTGCTGTAGCTACATACGATACGATGTCAATTTGATTCGCAAGCTCTGGTGTGCAGGTGGTTCTCAGATATTTCCTGCTCAAGAACTGGGCATTTTGTTTCTTCACGGGACTTTTCTAATAGCAGTATTCGATCGTGTTTCCGAGGCTACGCAACGAGACGGGTGGCCCACCCATTGCTGCCAAAGCACGACGCCCCCCCCCACACACACACCTCCGCGCGCGCGTATGCGCTTGCGCGCCCCCCTTGTATCTTTGTCGAAACCACGGCGCCGCACTGACTCTCGGTGCGGCAACTCTCTTATCTCATATGATCTTCTCTTCTCTTCTCTTCTCTTCAATTATCTTCTCTTCTCTTCTCTTCTCTTGTCGTGTCGTATCGTGTCTTCTCTTCTCTTCTTGACAAGGCCCCGGAAATTCTTCAGGGGCACAAGTACGGCGCAAAGGCGGACCTTTGGAGCGTAGGGGCGATCCTGTTCGAGATGTTGGCCGGCAAGCCGCCGTTTGGGGGCCAAAATCAGGTTGGTTCTAGCCCTCTCTAGGCTCTCTTTCGTTGTGGGAGTTGCCCGTGCTGTTCCTTGACCTTGATTTTATCTGTTTCGATATAAAAGAAGTGGTACGAGCGTGCGATCGCTCCCGGAGCTACCGTTGGCGTCGAAAAGTTGTGTTCACGACACGCAGAATGTGACGGCTTTACTCACTTCAGACAAGCAACGCGCGTCTGCGTCTCCGCGCCGAAAACGTAAGGATTTTTCGTGTGCGCGGAGATTTTGAAACGCAAGCCGACAGCAGTAGAATGGCCCAGAGCAAACAATACAACGAGCAACCAGAGACACCAAGAAAGCCTCGGTATAGGGCAAGCGAAACCGATCCGTCACCGGGGCTGGTGCCCGGAAGGCAACTGGGCCATGAACGTCCTCTCTGCCGTAACGGAAGTGCGCCGCAACCTGATGAATTTTTTTACAAATCGCATCACTGCTGTTAGACCATCGGTGCAAGGCATAAGTTGACTCAAAGTACGCCGAGTAGTGACCACGGGCTGGAGTAAGCGGCACAAGTGCTGTGAGCGCTGATTTGAAGTGAAAAAAAACAAAAAAAAAACAGCCGGGATCTCTCCCACTTACTCTGTAGTGACTTGACTTTAAACCGTCCCCTTCGACTACGATTAAACAATCTCGAACGGATATTTCTTTCTTTGATTGCATGCAAATTTTCGAAAAATCGAAACTACAGATCCAGCTGCTGGCCAACATCCGTCGAGGCCCGAGCCCGCCCGCCCGGGACGGCTTCTACCCGCTGCCCGACGGCGTGCCGCGACCGGGTCGCTCTTGCAACGAGCTCCTGTGCCGCCTCCTGGTGCCCGACCCGCAGCAGCGCGCGTCGTTCAGGGAATTCTTTAATAGCGACGTATTGCGCTCTCCTTCGTCGGCGGTGGCGGCGGCGGATGGCAGCGGCGCCACCGCTGTAGCCTCGGGCCGCGGGGCGGCGGAAGTTGGTCGGAGGGAATCGTCCGCAACGGATCGAACGGTTTCTGGTGGTGGTGGTGGTGGCGGAAGCGCGCGGAACGTTGCTGAGGGGGATGCCTCCGCGGCATCGGGAGCTGCGGCGGCGGCGGCGGCGGCCTACTCCGCCGGGTCGCAGCAGCAGCAGCATCACCAGACCGTCACAAGCCAGCCGCGAGGAGGGAGAGGAGTCCATAGGTCTCCGCCCGGAGCCCTGGGCGTGGCGGCGGGAGCGGGAAGAAATCGCGCGCAGCAGCAGCAGCAGCAGCAGCAACAGCAGCAGCAAGACCAAGGGAATGCCCGCGCCGGGGGTGCCGGCGGTGGTTGGTGGCCGCTTCAGGGGTGGCGTTGGGGCGGCGGGGGCGGCGGGAACGACGCCGGGGCCGGTGCGAGGGCCAGAGGCCCCCCGGACGAGGACGGGCGGTTCAAGCCGCTGAGCCGCACGTTCAGCGAGCCCCCGGTCGTCGCGCAGCGCACGCGGCTCCAGACGCCTCCCTCGCGGGGCGCGGGCGGAAGGTCGTCGAGGGGCCCGTGGGCGGGACCCCCGCCACAGCAGGGCACCCCGTCACGGCCGCCGCTAACGCCTCCCTCGCCGGCCAAGGGCTCGGGGTCGTTGTACTCCAGGCGCGGGTCGGGGGGAGGGGTGCGCGCCATACCTATCCGCCAGCAGCAGCAGCAGCAGCAGCAGCAGCAGAGTTTGTTCCTTCGTAGCGGTCGGGGTTACGATGACCGTGACCGTGATGACCAGGGGAACAACGAGGGTTGGTCTCCGCACGGGCACGGCGATGGGCGTTACGACGGCGGCGGCGGGGGAGGGGGGCACGGCGGGGGGGAATCGCCGTACGAGCCGCAGCAGCGCCTACGCTCGAACGGGCCCAACTCGGCGCCGGAGGTCTCCTACATGGGCTACGCGGCCTCGAGGGCGCGCGAGAGAGGGGCGGCGGCGGCGGCCGCCACAGAGGAGGAAGAAAGGGCGACTCCCGAGCAGATTCACATTTTGGGGGGGTTG